GTCTTTTCATTATTCAACATAATTTATATAATCAGCTGTGTGACTATGTTTTCTTGTTAGGGGTCCAACCATCCAAACAAATGGAGTAGAGGAATACAGCTGCAAAGCACTAGCATTCCCATGCATACCAGCAAAGCATGGACCTCTGCTGAAACGGTTCTGTTTTTTATTAAGAATTTTCCTATTATTTGTAGTTTTATTCTGTAAGTAAAAGTTATACTGCAGCCCAAACGACAAGACATACTGAGATTTCACCGCTTGCTCTTGCCGAGGGCGGACGCTTTCCCCCTCCTCTCCCTCCTCCGCTTTGCTGCTCTGTCCTGTCTGTGAAACTGCTTCTGAGCCTCTCTCTACATATCTTCCAAACCATAACTTTGTGGATTTGGTCAGTTGGTCTCTCAATGCAATGGACAACATTTTTGAGACAACCTTCAGGTGATTGTAACTGTCCGGATGACACCTATGCAGCTGTATATGTCTCTGGAGGAAGTGGAATGTGATGTGTCTATCTCTGCTGTCAATCGAGGATGCCAGAACTGCATATAATTGGATTTATGATAATAGGGTTCCTGTTTTTGGAATTGTCTGGTTCCTGGTTTATCAACATACAAAGAAGACAGCCACAGATATTCTGACCTGGTCAGGCTATGTGAAAGTTTGCTCCATGTCTCGAGCACTCAGACTTTATTGCTTAGCGGACTGGATTGCAAATTGGATGTGATTTGTGAGAATTGTAGGCCATATGCAGCCCCTAGGACTCACTGGCAGGATAGATCAAATCTCGGGGAATATTATCAGGCACAGATCAGTGGTGTGCCCACTTAATTTGGACATTTCGGAATCTATGTGAGACCAGCAAAGACTCAAGGCAGATAAAATTCAATAAAGTTCTGCCTGCCTTCAAAACAAACATTATTTATCTGAATTTGGCTTCCTCAGCTGGCCTTGCAGTCCATCTTATCTCAATTTGCCTGGAGGCTTTGTAATCTGACGCTATGCTCCCCTGAGGAAGTCCACTGGTCAACCTGAGGAAACCAGCTGAATAAACATTGGGTCATAATTTCCGGACTCTTGGATTCTCATTGTCCTTGGCCATTCCCCTACCCCACTCGAGAATTTGTACTGATCTCACCGGAGGGAAATGGCTGATTATTCCATCCTTAACAGAATTCCTACAGTGCCTCCGGGAGCGTCCTTGGACACTCTCACCACCCTTGGCTCTCTGTCTGACCAGGACACTGGCTCGCCAATTATTCAAGTTGGTTGAGGAGCCATCGCTAGAATTTTTCTTTCTAAATATCTGTTGTGATTTTGTACACTTTAAATTGCAGCTGATTTTGTTTTGATGCATGTCTTGACAATATCCTGACCAGAAAAAAAATCCTACAATGTAGTTTTCCTTCAACTTTCAACTGTAAACTAGTGCATGACTATTTGTCTCCCATCGTGAAGCGAAAAGGAAAAAAATGGAAATATCGGTCTGTTTGATCGTCTATCGAGAGCTTGATAACTTGAAAAATATGTGAGGTACCAACTTCCTTCTTGGTGTTATGCTACATCTAGGCAAAATAAAGCTTTCATTCAAAAAATGGTCTGCTTGTCAAAATCCAAGATAGCCACACCCCACATCCTTTTTTGGATTGTGGGGGTAACAGTCACTGTGCAAGAGGCGGGGTACACCAGGACAGGTCTCCAGTCCATCACAGGGCCACATAGAGACAAACGAGACTAACAATCACTCACTCACTCACTCACTCACTCACTCACTCACTCACTCACTCA